TGCATTTTTATTTCTGCATTTTTACACTAATATTTCAATTCAGTATTTGACTAAATGAAGTTTGTGGTTTTTTGTGTATTTGAGCACAAATAGACCTCATTTTTGCACTTATTATCATCTGAAATTTTGAAGAATAAAAGATACTGAGATTTTTCTGGAAAAATGCAGGCATGCCATTACACTATTATTATGGTATTCAGACCTTCATTTAAAGAAATTGGAGGAGAGCTACAAATACCTATCCGACGAGTATCAAGGAGCTCTATTGCCTCTCCTCAGGATTTTGCATATCGGTAATGTTTAAAGTAAGGGTGGTCCGGTTTAGAAAAAAATGCATTCTTTCTTGATTAGAATTTGGAGCATTTTTGGAGACCATAACTTCAAAAATAACAACAGAAGATGTCTGAATTTTACTAATCCCCTATATCTTTTTGTGTGTAGTTTTATTAGTAATTTTTTTCTGGCTCATTTTCCACTGTGATTTTTGAAATAATGGCCTTTAATTTTAGTCTTGTCCCTTGGTATTTCCTATTTTTGCACATGTTTCAATGGCAAAAATCAGTCTATTTCAGCAGCCTAATTTTAAAACATCATCTCCAAAAAGTGATGTGCTATGATTATACAGAAATTTGAGAAAATAGATATAAATTTCTTAATCTAATATTATTTTAAAACATAACAATATTATTTTGATGACTATAGTTCAACTATAGTTTAACATAATTAATAGAGAAAACATACTCTGTTTTAATAGGGAGAACAGACTCTGGTCGGACCCAGTACGTAGCGTAGGCCCTAGGCCTCTGTGTGCGTGTGCGTGTGTGTGATCTATTTCGCGATCGAAAGGTGTGACACAGGGACCAGGATTAGGTTAAAGATGCATCAATATTTTTATCAGTTCTCCAAACAAAGATCGTAATCTTGACAGTACTGTACTTGATATGACAAATCGCAAATCTACTATGCCAAGGTAGGTCCTACAGTATTACATGCTGACCTAAGTATAAAGTGGAGTTTGCTACCTATTGCTGAGCTACTGGTTGTTTACTCACATCTATGTTCTATCTAGGCTATGCAGATATTCGTCTAGTCTACAGTAGTGTAAATCTACTCTAGGTTTTCCGAATTGAGGGATGTATGTTGACTAATTGTATTAAAATTTTACTTGTAAATGTTCATAATGATAACAATCTGCTATATTTTATTTTATATAACCTATGAAATAAGACCGCTCAATGAACCAACTTACAGACATACCGCTCAAAATAGCAGAGCCACATGCATGCAAGTAGTGGGCCGTTTAGAATTGTCAATTTTCTAGCAGGGTATAATATATTTTTACTACAATTAATACGCGTGATGTAAGTGAAAGTGTTTCGAATGAAATTGATGAAAATTCAATTAATAACCATTGTTTCATCAACCGTATTATGAGTTAGCTTTAGTTTAATGCAGAATTTGATAGATATTTATTTTGGATGTTTTTTTCATTTCTTCAGTTTTCTGACAGTAAATTAAGGAGCACTATATTTTGCTGTCCTTAGAAGGGTATAAGGAACACGAAGGAGCGCCAGTGCGATCTTGCTCCTTTTAAATGAAGGTCTGGTTATGTCCATTAGCATCATTTTTTACATAAAGAAGATATCTTGTAAACTTTAGTAAAAATTGTTTCACTCAATACTTAAATACAATGGTTCAATCTGTGTTTCTTTGTTACTGGCATCATTCACAGATGGAGTAAATTTTACATTAACAGTATCATCATAATATTGTGTAGTTAATTCATTGTTGCATGAAATTTGAAGCTGTTGAGTGCAGCTGGTTTGAGACACCATGTTTTCGTAGCTATGTTCTTCTGGCAATGCATTATGTTCATTGTGCATTTGGGCTTCTAGGTGTACACTTAATTTATCTTCATTTATCTGTTGTGAAGTTGATTCAGTGTCAGTTGAAATTTGAAGTTGTTGAGAGCACCCTGCTTGAGACATCATGTGATAAGAACTGTTGTCATAACTATCTACTCCTTTCAATGTAGCAGTAGGTTCATAGTGCATTTGGATTCTAGGTGCATCTCCAGCTAACATGATAGATGATGTGCCTTCATCATTTCCAGCTGAAGCAATTGGCTGGGATTCATGTGGGTCAGGCTGATGTGGGTTACTCTGATGCGTACTAGGCAAAGTAGCTGTCATTTCATAACGACTTTTATATCTCATAAAGTAACAGCATGAGAACACAGTTGAAAACATACTTAGTGCAAGTGCACCAACACTTACAGAGATTAAGTAAATATTATTTACATTTGGCCCATTTGGTTTTATAGACGTTAAGTTTTGAAGTGATTCTGTTTCATTTCTGATTAAAATATTAATAATGGTAGGTACATTTGTATCGTTAATACTACAGGTAATTATAGCATTGTCCATATCAGATGTAACATTGTCAATGATTAACATGTTTGCGCTATTACCATGTTTATTCTCTATTGCTGTCTTTATAGCGGTATTGTTTGAATTCCATACTACAGAAAAAACTTCCATACTTCTGAAAAAAGTTGCAGTGTAATTGTAAATTATTTGATTGGATATTGAAAATTCATTGACAAAATAAAAGTTTTTTTCCTCATTAGCCTTGCATTCTAAAGTGGCCCTCTGACCAATTGTCAATAGGCCAACAGGTTGTATACGGATCTGTGGGGTACTTAAACGCCTTTCAACAATCATTTCAATTTTACAGACTAATTGCGTCACCAGTGAATTTAATCCATTGATGTAACAACTAAAAGTATGGCAGTAAGATTCTGAGCATATTGATGAGTTTAACGTTACATGACTTCTAGCTGTCACTTCACTTCTAGTTTTGTATAAAGTATTATTCTGCAAGTAGGGTTCTGTTATTCATTGCAGTGTGTAATTTGCGGGTGACGTTACTGCACAATCTAATACTACATCTGCACCACCGTTACTGTCATGTATTTTGTATGAATTACAAACTGTTTCAGATGGTAGTGGCCAAACAAGGACATCAATATTATATAATATTATAATATTCTGGTTTTTACTTACGATATTTAATATGTATGTACCATTGTCTAGTTTGTTTACTTGTTTGAATAACGAAAATTGAAATTCTTCGGTGGGGTTTGATTCCGACGTCGATATTTGGATTTCTTCTCTTTTGACAATTGATATTGTATGTGTTTTCAGCAACCACGTAGCAACTACAATTATGGGAGGACCTTGATATTTTATCCAGCAATTGATAGGTTTTGGTTAATGAACAAATATATCCTTCCATCTGGATTGCAGTTAGCTTTGTTGATGTACAAACCTGTGCTATAGACAAACAATATAAGCATAAAAATGAAATATATATAAAACATATCTGGTTGAGTAAAGAACTGCTTACATATGCCAACTGATTTGAAATGAGGTCTCTTTTATATTTTATGGTTTGACTGGAGATAAATGTCTTGTTTTCTTTGTTTAAAAAATATCACTGATTTCACTTTCACTTGATTTTAAGAAAAATAACTTTTGAAATGATATCTTTTCTTAGTCACTGTTTTGAGTTTTGATTTGCAAGAATTGATTATGGAATTAGACCGTAGGTTGAGCCTTTGAAATTACTTTTAAATTTCATGATTGTAAACATTTTTTTTTGTTATATTTACTGTATGTACCAGGGCTTCCTTGAAAAGCGGTACTAGTTGCTGAATGTATACCCCCTGGTTAAAGAAAGCCTAAAAATGTTGATAATATTATATTATAATATAAAACATTTTTCGGCAATGGCAAATTTGTTGAAACAATATTAAAAAATGGAAATTAATCTTTTAAATTGAACACTTAAGATGTTCAGGAAAGTAGTAGCCAATACAGGTTTGTGGGAAGGGTAGATAATATCTGGATGGTACTGTAATGTCAACGATACTGTGAGAACTCTCATTCATATCAAGATGAAATAAGTACAATAGCTCTCCTGATTCAGTGGTATTTTTAGCTTCTTATAACATACCAAATAGAGTAATACTTTGACAAATTGTATCCAGATGAACATACATTTTACAACATATTAACCAAAGGAACCTAATGCATCAAAATGCAAGTTATCTTCAAACTCGCGCTTCGTTATGAACTAGTTCAAAATAAAATGTATTGTGGCTCTGTGGTTATTAACGAGGTTATACTGACACCAATGGTTAATTTAATTCAATTTAGTAGCCATACCGCCAGTTTCCAGCGTATCTCCTTGGTTTCAATGCAGAGGTCATGTGACTCCCTGATACCAATTGAAAGTTTGTACTTTATTTAGAGATCCTCTCTCGATTTGGCAATTGGGAAATTCATAATTTGAATTCCTTTGCTCAGCAAAATCACATCAAATATGTTGGATTGTGACAATTTGATATTGAATAGGCCTATTACTTCAGAACATCAATTCTATTACAATTTGGTAGGTTATTCTTATGTAAGCTATGTAGAAATAGATTCATGCTTAATGCAAATTTTAAGATAATGTTCTGTTTTGGAGCAAATTATGCATTTCTCTAAATTGTACTTACTTTATGTTCATGTGAAACACAACATGAAATCTAAAAGTTGGGCTAGAAAAAAATGAAAACTAATGTTAATTTAAATTGTTGTACATACTTTTTTTCTTTTTCATTAATTTGTGTTTACCTTTTTTTTAATTATTAAACTCTCGTCTAATTTTTCACTATAAAAATTTACTATTTGTGAACATTTTTCATTTTAGGTTTTCTTTTTGCAGGCATCTTACTGTACATGTCCCCTATTTACATGTCCTAAATTATTTTGAAAAACTATTAACTTCATGCTATATATTTATTTGAGTTTAGTTTATTTAAAATCAGTTTGTTTCAGTGACAAATAATGATGCATGCAAGAGAGAAATCAATAACAAAGTGTCATAAAATAAGTGTGATAAGTTAAACTACTTAAGTTTAAGTTCACCTTTCATTTAATTTTTTCTTTCAGATATGTTGATTTCTGTCTGTGTTTGTGAGCCACAATGAAATGTAAGTATCCAGCATTGTCCACTCAAATTCCACAAACCCCCAGGCATATTTTGGCCTGTAGTGACCGTCCCTTAAGAAATTTGTGACATTATTAAATTGCGTCAGTGATATACAGCAACACCTGGTGAGAATATCTGCTAATTTACCTGTAGAAATCCGTAATCATTTTGAGGGTGAGTTGCAGCTTTTTATGCATGATTCCTTGTCAACTGGAATACAGGTGAGTTCATCATTTGTTGTTAATTTATTCATGGGCACCTGGGAATTCAGGTGAATTATAACTTTTTATTAATTTATTCATAGTGACATTTCATCTAAGGTGAGTTGCAACTTTTTAAAAATTATTTTACATTCTCAGTTACATTTTAATACAGGTGAAGTGAATTTTTAAAAATTAATATATTTACCATGACCTTTCCAGTTAGATCAGTTAATCTCTCTTAACAATTTATTCGTAGCCATGTGAGAATATGCAAGTGCTGCTTTTTATTAATTTATTCATAGTCATCAATTTTGTATTCATATATTCATAGTCATCTGGGCACATAGGTATAGTAACTGAATTTATTTGTAGTCGCCTTTTTACCACAGGTGAGTTGCAGTTTTTTATTTGTTGATCCCCAGTCACATGGGAGGACTTCTATTTTTCTCTTGTCATTGTTGACACCTTTCTAACTTAATGCATCAGACCTTTTTACACTTTGTTTTCTTATCTGCTAGACATTATTACCTGCAATACCTGTCTAGATTTAAATTTATTGGTAATCTGTCTAGATATTAAATTACTCTTGGATTATGAACAGAATTTTTCTACTATACATTTAGTTTAAACAAGAATCAAAGGCTTTTAGAGAATAGCATGGTCTTTTGGTCCATCAAAATTAAAATTTCAGTACTTGTTAAACCAAATATACTATTAGTTTTACTTAATACAAGAATAGTTCATTCATTTAAACCATTATTCTTTTATGTTGTTAATGTAATTTCAAATAAACTATTTGAAATACTTTTTAGTTTTCTCCTAATATAAAACATAATTCTTACATTTTTTTTTAATTGGTTAAACTATATTACTGTATGTTAGACTTCAATACTGCAAAATGTAGGAAGGGTGATGCATGTAAATAATACCAATTTAGAGAGTTTATATATCAACAAATACAAACCATTTTTAGAATCAAATTTAACAATATTAATTTAATATTGGAAGATTGACCCATAATTCTGGTAAGTCTTCATATTTTCAATCAAATTTAATTTATTTATTCAGCCATATTATAGGGGGGTGGGGGCACCAACAATAGCGAGCTTTCGAAATGGGTGACGCGAGGAGCTGCAACAGGGAATTCAGTCAACCATGAACTTCGTACTATTACTTCCCGTCTGAACATCAAAGCTGTTTCGATTTACAGGACGACGCAATCCCTCTTAATATCGCGTGATCAATTATGCAGGTGCCCACAGCGAGTGTGTATTTATAAAACTCGCGTTGCCGTAGTCAACACAACGCCAAATCGCTTGAAGCCCGTTGTCAAATCCACACAACGAACGACTTCCCCATGTATTCGCATGCGCAGTATGGTTTCACGCTCCACTGCCCATTGTAGAACGCCGCGTTGTCCAAATCGAAAGCTGCTTATTGCTGAATCAAATGGGGCCTCAAAAGGTCATGAGTAAAGTTGGTTGCATTGCTTGTGTGCTTGTGCAAGACAATAGAGAGCTTTTGATTTGTGCGACACGACACTAGGAGTCACTCTTATGTGACTGCCCTACCGGGCGTTTTACCTTCTCAGCATACAGTACGTAGATTTGACCAAATTGCATCCTAGAATCCACGCGACGAGGAGAACTTAACGTTCTCACATGTGCAGATGACTCTTAGTGACATCTTTACGTGTAATTGAAAGCTCCCCACTGTCTCTTGTACAGATATAAGCCATGTGACAACATTCTGACCTCCTATGCAACATCATAGAACATTACTGCACCATTCTCTGGCAATTTAAGGTAAACTTGAAAGGAAGAAAGAAATGCAATTTAAGGTACGTTCAGTTATGTACTACATAGTTTTCATCCAGTCTAATTATTGACTCGTTATGAAAATTGTAATAAATATCAGACAAATATTCAGAGGCAAGGGAACAGAGGTGATAGCTGCATATTAGAGCTAAAAATAACAAAACTGAACAACATGCGGGAAGAACTTGCTCCAATTACTTCCATCTAGGTAGGGTATCGTACGAAACATGGACTGTATGGCATGAATGATCCAACACCACCTGACAATTAAACTTGAAAGGAAGAAAGAAATGCTATGATACTGCAAATTTTAAGGCAAATAACATATGGAATTAACACTGTTAAGTATAATGATATTAATAATGATTAAATTTAAACTGATGTCTAGGCAGGCGCATTTCCTTTGATAAGCCGAACAGAATATTTGAGATGTAGACTTTATTTTGATAGAGCTCTTGTAATTGGTAGGTCGCCAAGTTGCTTTGAGCATCATGCTTATCTTCCGTAGGGGGATGATCGGAATTTGTTGGGGGAGAGTTTTTTCTCCGCAGCTGAGGTAGGAAATGCAAACAATGTTTCACATGATTATGTGATTTCTCAAATGGAAACCTGTTGCATTGGTTTAATTACATATTCCAAGACCTACAATCTAAAGTCCTGTCCAGACTATCAAATTTTATTTGAAAAAACCTGTTGTATGCCCATATATAGTCATGATGTGCCTATATATGGTCATGGTGTGATGTCATCATGACCATATAGGCATGTCACATGTTTTTGTCAAATATGATAATCTGGACAAGACTTATGCTATTTTACACACACTAGTTTACCAGTGTAGCTAAATCAGTTGACCCTAGGTGCTAAAAGAGAGAGGATATTAATTTTGAATTTAGCACCTGCATCGTTGCATGCATGTGTGTGTGTGTCCTCGTATGTGTGCATGTACGTGTAAGTATTAGAACGGTATGTGTAAAGGAGTCTTACCTTGGTAATTTGTGTCTTGTCAATTCACTTTTGAAACCAAAGAGCGCCCTCAAGTGTTTCTTTTCTTTGAACAGGGTAGGGTTTTGATGATAAGATGGATGAATTGTTTTTAGTGTAAAGTTAAAGATGGTAGGGATATATATACATCTCAAAATATGATAAATAAAAAATGAGTCAATGTGGTTAAAAATTAAACTCATTCTCTTGGGGAAGAAATGAAGCCTCAGTGATGGGGCGTCCTGTTGTTAATTTGATTAGTTTAACTGCATGAAGGTCAAAAGAATAACTACAAATAAAAAAAGAAATTATCTAGTCATATGACCCAGTGTTTTGGATGATCTTGTAAAAATAGCCTACTGCCAATCATTTTCTTGACCTACTTAACACAATGGGTTGCTCGCTAGCCTAACATTGACTTCGTGATCCAGTGGCTGGATGCATGACCGTTTAAACAGCCTGTCACGTGCCTTACATACCGAGTGGTTTGATGTAATCTGCGAAACGTTGTCAATTGCCCATGTAACGGATTATCGCCGCTCGTTTTTGCTGACAGTATTTTGAGATTGTTTAGAGCTTTACATCCACCTGCCCCAAGCCATCTACGAAGTTTTCAACTTCTTCCTATTTCTGAATCAGAAGTTAATTTCTTTTTTTTTTAGATTTTCACGCTTTCGAGAAGTGGCACATGATTTGTTTCCTGTATCACACTTTGATCTACTTTTATGCTTATCTCAAATGTGAAATGTTTAGCTTTGCAGATATTATTAACAACTACTAGTGTTTCCTACAATATTTCTGTCTTTTCTCTTGATTACTGACATGACTTTCTTTTCTAAGAATTAATTAAACAACGACCTTATAATGAATATTTAAAAAAAATATGAAACTTCACAGCTCTCATTTGCATTAATTCTGTACGAAAAAGAAGCAATGGTTTTTTTCAATAGAAAATAGTTGGCTTCATCAACAATTCTATTAAATCATATTTTCAGCTAATAGTCTTAAATTTTAATGTTTATTATCTTAAACCTTTCAATTAAGATTTTTGTAACTAATAATATTACAAACAATAATAAAACTAAGAATTAAAAACTGAAAACCTAATATATATATACAAAGAGAAGCAATTATACTGCAAATTAATCTGTATTTTATTTTATTTTTTTTTCCAATTAGGTTGATACATAGTTGTTGAGCTACTAACATTTTCTGTGGTGTGGTCTAAATTTGTTGACAAATCGATACTACTTTATGCAGGACTTTTTTTTACCTTGAGCTTGTTGAAGGCATAGATTAAATAATGCAGCAATATAAAACTGATGAAAAACCAAAAGACTGAGATCGGTATTGAACCCTACTATTTGCTTGTCAGTTGCCTCTTGGGAGAGAAATTCTCATAGCTTGATTATCAAGTGTCATAGATTAACACACTCTGTTAATCCATTATGATGATAGGTTAACTTACAAATAAAAATTGGACAAGTTAAAAATTTGTTGAATTAATTCTCTAGAAATACATGTGCAAACATAAAAACGCCTTAACTTATTTAGTTTCAAGGTAGTTGCCATGTTGTTCATTCACCTTTCTGCCCTATTTTATTTCCTTGACAGTTGTTTGAAGTACAAAAGAGTGTGAAAATGAAATTGGATTAAACTTGCCTTATTATAATTTTGATGTGTTCATGCCGCAGAAAAACAGTGAAAAAACCACATAGGTCAGAGGTATAGTAAATGAAAGGTTTGGCACTTTTATGTGCTTTAAAAGAAACAATTGCGAAAAATGTGATTTGTTTTTTTATTGCTGCAACTTTCTCTTTATTGTTTGAGTTCATTCCTTAATTTATTTTCTGTCAAAATGTCAAGATATTTGTGAACATTTTCTGCTAAGAGATTAAATTACATCTGCTGTCTGAGATACTTTGAATTGTTTTTGTCTATATTATATGAATATTGGTATCTAAGAAAAATTGTTAACTAATTAAAAAAAAAATAATAATTTTTATGTTTTTTTTTTTTTGCATCAGGATATTTAATAGGAATATTTTACCCTACCTGACATAGTGCTGCAGTACCCGCTGCTAATTGGATGCAACACTGGTAACTAAGACAGCTCGGTGGTCTAGTGGTAAAGACACCAATCTAATTATCTGGAGGCAATGGGTTCAATTCCTACCCATATCACTTCCAAGATTTTTTTTTTCACAAGTATTTGGATAAGTACTAAGCATTCAGTATGATAACATATGTCGGGTAGGGTAAAACTTCATTTTTATAAATAAAAAAAAAAATTTAAAAAAAAGAAGTAAAATATTGTAGTATTGTAACCATAAAGTGTCCTTAGGATAAGATTGTAGATGATTTAATATGGTAATTAAAAGATGGCAATATAGTGAATATCAATATATGGTAATAAAGTTCACAATGCTGTAAAAGTTACTACTGTATAAATAAAATGTATTTGGATTTGACTTGAATTAGTGTTTTAGCTCTAGAATGCTGCCCCCAACAGTTTATAGTTAATGCTCCAACATCTGCCTTGTCTTGATAGTTTACAGGGGTGGATCCAGAATTTTGAAAAATGTGGGGGTGGGTACAACAGTCCGTTTAAACAGCCTGTCACGTGCCTTACATACCGAGCGGTTTGAGCTAATCTGCGAAACGTTGTCAATTGCCCATTGACAACCTGCCTATTCAGTCTCAGAACAGGCGAGTAGCACATAACATTGATTTGCATTGAAAATTTAGCAAGAAAACGGGGAGGGGGGGCACTACTGGATCCGCCGCTGGTTTATAAGTAAATAGTTTTTAAAGTACATGGAATCCCACAAGAAAATCCCAGCCTCATAGACAGAATATAGATTTTATAAAGTTTAACACAAGTTCAAAAATCGGCTCCTTGTAGTTTTACCAGAGTACACTGCAGAAATTAGGCCAGACTAAATGTCCTTATTTTTTGGCCAATTTCAGGCTCGAAAATTTTCTTATTTTGTTCTTATTTTTACACACTTTTCAAACGTAGAAAATTATTATTGTAAAGCTGTATATTACTGTATTATAGAGGGTATTACATACTGTAGTGACACCTACTGCAAATGAGCTACCGATAATAATTTTTTTTTTAACAGAACCCACATTTGACAATTTACGTTAGCCTCAATTAATTCTTATTTTGTTCTTAGGTTTTAAGCAATTTCAGCCTTAATGTTCTTATAAAATGTTTTCTTAAAAAGTATACTATGAATAGGTACCTGGTAATGATGGGAATTATTGTGGTTTGAAATGGTTAGGTGTTGGATTAACCTCATTCTAGGAATACTCTGCTGGGAACGGAAGAGTTTGCCAATGTTTCATGATTGTTTATAGGCCCAGGGGTACATAATAATTATCTGCTTCTCCAAATAGGTACCTTGATAAATAGATAGCACATTTTAAATGCTGGGTTATTATTAATGTTATATATTGTGTATCGATAATATAATGTTAATATAAGTCTTTATTCTGTCCATTGGAACATATCGTACTGTGGAAAAATCTTTCTTGGACGAAGCATGGACAAATCATATTTTAAAACATAAAAATATCATTTAAAAATTATATTTGAAAAAAAGGCACACATAATTATCATGTCCAGACCATCAAATTTTATTTGCCAAAAACATGTGACAAGCCTAAATATGGTTACTATGAATATATAGGCACAACATGACCATATATGGCCATACATCAGTTTTTTTTTCCAGGGAATGCATGATAATCTAGACAGAGCTTAAGAATTGTGTATACCTCCATAGAAAGCATGCAGAAAGAAGAAAGTATAAATCCCTTTTATTTAAAAATTTTATACTAAGGTTATTATTTGAATCAAACAATTTCCATCCTCAATTATAGTTTTTTTTTCCCAGGCCCTGTACAATGTTAGCCTTGCTAGTCACCTTACACTATCCTTCTCATCTTCCTCTTATCCCCAAAAGTAATGCTGTATTTAATTTAATTTGATTTTGTGAATGAAAAATAACAGTCACATTAGAAAGTGCTGGTAAGTGGACCCTGAAGATTAGCCATTAGCAGAATTAGAAGTCAAATTCTGAATTGAAAGTATAAAATATTACGCTATTTAAATACTTGAATTTATTAATGGTTTAACAAAAGAAAAAGCATATTTCTGTATTTCTTATCATTTTTTTAAAGTACAACTACATTTTTTTAAAATTCATTGAATTATTAACATTAGTGCATAATATTAATAATTCAATTCATTTTTTAGGATTAGTGCATAAGCTTAATCTAAGTGTTTAAACCTATTTTAAAAACAATTACACAGAAAACAAAGAACAATTCCATAATGCATAAAGGGTTTCCTCTGTGATAATTTCTGTTCTCCTTTGATAAAAATTGTTAACGTCAATCTCTAGACATTCAAACAAAATCTGTAATTTCATTAAGTCTTTCTCGCCTACAGTCATCCCTGAACAAATTTTGATGATGGTGATGTGTTTGCAATTTTTTTTTTTTTTTTATCAAAGTATAATTTTACCCATTCTCTCTTTTAAAGCTTTTCTTTTTAGCTCTGAATCCTTCATTTACTCCACCTTGAGAGCATTTATGGACCTAGATTTATAACATTAAATCAACACTAAAAATAATTAGTCTTGAATTTTAAAATCTAGTTTGTTTTGTTTGGCTATGCCATGCCTTAAAACTATTACCTGTTGAAGCAATCCAGTTGCCTCAAAGTTTTCCTCCTACTGTCGTCAGTAAGTCTCTATTGACTCTCCTCTAATATATGCTTTTCCAGGTCTATGATTCCTATTCTTATTCCCTTGTTTTCTCAGCCTTAGTGTTTTTCTCTTTTTCAACTTTGAAATCAATATCATTGGAAAACTAACTATTCTCCAAGCATAAACAGTCTCTCAGAATTTTAATTCTTATAATGTATTACCTATTTGTATATTTACAGTAGTTGTAAGTAAATCCCAGCAGAGATTGAACCTAATTTCATGAAAGTGGAGAATAAGCACTTTAAACCATATTAAACCGGGCCTTTTCCCACCCTCCCTCCTTTTTGGAAAGTTAAAAAAAAAAGTAAAAAAGAAAAAAAATATATTGATCACCCAAAATGCTTCAGAGGTTATTTTCTCGCATTTAGAAAACAAATTTTTCGCGGGGGAATGTCCCCAGATCTCTAGGGTACTGGTGTCACGATCACCCCCAATTTTGGTCTCTCTGTTGGCCCCCTTTCGGACATCTCTGGATCTGTTCCTGTTAAAGGGGTTGATAGATGCGCACCTGAACCCCCATTTTTGGAAGGTTTGGAAGGCGTGACACTGCTTATTTAGAATTTCCTTCAACAATTTTCTTGTAAAAATTGTTGCATATATTTTCAGATAAGCATACACACCTATGTGAATGTGAAAGTTCTATTGGAAAATTACCTGAGAGAATCAGACATTTTCTTGCTTGAAGTTGAACAGGGCCATTGATAGGTCCGGCATGTAGTTTAGTAGATAGAAACATTGATTGATTGATTGATTGATTGATAGTTGATAGATAGATGGAAAAATATACCTGCAGTAGAAGTATTACTGAATTATGTTAATTTGCTATTTTTATATCATCTGTCAATTAACCAAATGCAGTGATCACCATCCTTTATGTAATGGATTAACTGTTTATTAATCAGTTATTAAAATTTAAAAGTGTTTCGTGTAGGGACATTGTCTGCTGCTTGACTTGGCTTGGATCAATTTCCAAGTCATCATCATTCTGCAAATTGTTATTCTGCTGTTGGCAATTTCTTGATTCTACCAAGGAAATCGGCATTAGAAATGTTGGTCCGTGATTACAACTTCACGCTTGCTGATCAAAAACAACCTGAGGGAGAGTTAGCAAGCAAAAAAAAACCAAGACCATGAGAAGTTCTAACCTCTGACCTTGTGATCACATGATGTTTTATGAAGCCAGAGGATGATGATCTTTAAATATTACATGGGCTTTACTTAATTCAGACATCAAAAACTACATCCAGATTTTTCCTGCTGTCACTAAATTTCATATGTCTATATTTAATGTACCAATGCTATATTGCCACCCCTCATAGCACAGGTTCCAAGTTGGAAGACACCACTTGTGGGATACCTGATGACATGAGCTTTTTTAACACATTTAATTATATTTTGCTATGCATGGGAATACCCATCGCAAGTGGGAGACAATTTTAATAGAATAGTAAAATCATATGAATTTACAATAGATGGGTTTGTTTCCTGGAGATTTTTGCTTGCCGCATGAGGGTGTGGGATTCTCTTGATTTCCAGGAGACTCCCTCAAAATTGTGGGAGACTAGATCCCCAGACATAGTGGCTGGACTAGATCACAACCTTTAAAAATGAAAATAAGAACTTGATGGATGTGATGACAAACACGAGTGGAGAACTACTCCAATCATAATCATACATTCTAAAATGAAATATTCAGACATTTTTGTTATTTTAATGTAATATTATATTGATTCAGATTTGCTAGCTATCTAAGTCTTATGTAAAATCTGAAAACTAAATTGCTTAATTAACAGGCATAATTATCAAGACTTGTATAGCACCAAAATCAAATATAAGAAATGTTGGTGGCGCTGTGACATTTTCTCAAATGTGAAAACCTTCCTGACTATCTTTAAAGTATAAAATTTGCTAAACAAGGTAGAAAGAAAATCTTGCGTATTAACTTGAAATTTTATATCCAAATTTCAGGGCAGAGCTCTTGGGAATTTCATCCTTATTGTTTGGTGATAGCACTGATCATCTGCCAAGCATTAATATATCATAATGCAACTTATATGATTTATTGAATTTCTCCAGCCTACCTAATTATAATTTGTTTCTTAAACCTTAATCACTGACATACTTCTAAGTGTAAAGCTTTGAGGTATTTACGTTTTGCAGTATAATCCTTGCTGCCGTGTCTGCTTGGCATCGTGCCTGGAGAACAAGTGTTGATACAAACAAGAGTTTTAACCTCATTGTTAAAAAAAAATATGCTTTTGCATTTTAAATGCGTAGGCAGGATATTTTATTGTTCTTAACTTCAGAGTGAACGTAGCTAAAATTGGATTATTAATATGTCACCATTGTCATACAATACTGTCACAAATATTTAGCCAACCATTGATATTTCACCAGTCTATTAATTCATTTAAAACAAAATTAACAAATCATCTGATCATTTTCATCCTAGAAATAATAATAATAATACTGCCACTACTGCTACTACTACTACTACTACTACTACTACTAC